TTGCCGGCTTCGGAGTTGGGCTCTGTGGGTGTGTGCTCAGTAAAGGCATGCTCGCAGGAAGCGGAGGCCGGGCGCCTCGGCGTCAATCTCACATACACTGTCATTTTGGACATGCATTTATAATCTAATCTGGCCTAGAGAGCGTAAAACAGGGATGTTACTTGCCGTGGACTGAATTGTGTCCCCAATAAATCATGTTGAAGCCCTTCCCCCCATATTGGAAATGGGCCTCTAAGGGGTTGAATAAGGTTCAATGAGGTCGATCGGGTGGGGCTCTGGTCTGATGGGAGTGGTGTCCTTATAAACAGAGACAGCAGCGAGGTTCTCTCTCTGCACACAGGGAGGAGGCCTGGGAGTGCACGGTGACATGGTGGCCATCTCCAAGCCAGGAAGGAAGGTCTCTCCGGACACCAAACATACGGTCCCCCCTCTTGGACTCACAGCTTCCAAGACTGTGAGAAAATAAATGTCTGTGTTTTATTATAGAAGCTGGAGCTAAGACACTATCCTATGGTGGATGAGCCACCTGTTTTTAATGCCCTTGCAAAATTGAACCCTGCTTAGTTGTGACATAGGCATGAGAACACGTGTGACAGGAGGCCCTCATGGCTGGCCATGCAAGTTCATAGCCCCTCCAAGGCCCTGCGATGAGTGTTTGTGTCTGCCTCGGTTCTTCAGCTCACTCTAGCCTCTGTCTCCCCTCCCCGGTGTTCCAGGTGGCTAGAGGTGTTGGCGCTCCTCAGTCTAGCAGAGCCCCAGTTGCTCAGCTCCAGAGAAAATGGCCCACATACTTCCCCCAGGGAGGGGCGCCCTGAGGGATCTAGTGACAGCGTGTTGTCTGCCTCCCTTTCTCGGCGGATCCTGGAAGCACCTTCAGCTGCTCCAGGTCTGGCCTCTCCATGCTGACCACAGCAGCCAGCAGCTGGTCCTCCAGGCCATCCCTGGTCACAGTGAAGTTGATGAGGGTGGCCTGCGCCTGCAGCTCCGGCTGGTAGTGAGGATTGGCCAGCTTGGTGTGAAGTATGAGCCGGAACTTGGGATTGTATTCACACTCTTTGTCTCCGATTTTAATGAACCTGGAACAGAAAGGCTCGGGTAAAGGTGGGTGCCTTCCCGTGAGATTCACTCAGAGACAGAATTCTAGATTTGTTTGAAGATCATAGCAAATAACATTGCCATATTCAGGTGGATTCCCTCGCAGGGCTAGCGTGAGTCCTGGGATCCTTGTTGCCCTAATGTCGGAAACAGGGGTGGAGGGTGATAGACTTTCCCCACCGCCACCATGTTTGATTTTGCATCATGCAAAGCTGTGGGGAGAGCCAGCAACACATTACGGAACATCTCCAGCAGATGGCAGTAAAGTGTTTGCAGGAAGGGGCACCTTTTTAGTTTGCACAAAGGTGCCTTACAGGCTGGCAATAGGGCTTACTTATGTCTATGGCTGACGGAGAATGACGTCCATGGATAAAAATGGTTAATTAACTTAACGAGCACATCCCGAGGACATGTAAAGGCGACTTTCGTCTTGGACACTGGGTGAGGCTTCATGATAATCACCCTTCCCTCTCCCAGGAGCCTGCTGCCCTTCTCTTTCCTCCTGCTTCTGCCACACGCTAATTAGCTATCGGCACCCAGAGCAGCCGGGGGCGCATCACAGTGACAAAGAGGTGAGTTCTCAGAACTCGGAGGCCTGGCTTGGGTAAAATGCTCAGGCTTAAAGTCAGCCTGCTCTTTGGCCACTTTCCTTCTAAAGTTCCTCCAAAATAGTGTCCTCTGGCTATTTAGAAGGAAGACAAGGAGGACATTGATGGATGGAAGCAAAGTTACTCTAGAAACTTTCTCTAGGATGTGAGGCAGCGGATCACTCCTCTGCTGGAGGAGACACTGTGGGAGACACGCCACACAAGCTGGGGAGAGCGTGCCCTAAGGAGAGCAGCGCTGTCCACCGTCCTACCCGGCTGTGAGCCAGCTCTCAGAGGATGGGCAACCCCGCTGAGTCTCACCGTCCTTTTTTAATGACTTCTCTCCCGAGCAGTGGACCCAGAACAGGATCAATGGACTCCTCCAGGTTCTCAATCAGCACCACGTGGCCAGCTTCCAGGGCTTGCTCTATGGTTTGGAGGTAGCTGGGGAGAAAGTCAGCAGTAGAATGAGCCTGTGGCCAGGTACAGATTCAGAGGAAATTCAACAAGACAGGGGAGGCTCTGCAGCTCAGGGATGAACTTGGAAGCAACCTACCTGGGATGATTTCTGTGGCCACATTGTTTTCTTATATAGTTTTAGAAATAGGGGACAATTTCAAAATAAAAATGTGAAAATTAACTATAATCCTTCCATCTTTCACTTAAATTTGGTGTTACTACATGTTTTGATATCATATATTTTCAAGTTTATTATCACTATTGCTATTTATTTTATATTAGATATATAATTACTTATATTTGCATTTATATTTATTATTAGAGTTATAAAGCGTATTTGTTTTATAACCCGGTTTTGTACATAAAATGCATTGTAAGCATTTTCCCACATCATTAAATATTCTCCTATAACAATTTTTATATAATTGGCCCTGGCTGGTGTGGTTCGGTTGGTTGGGTGTTGTCCTGTGCACTGAAAGGTTTGATTCCCGGTCAGGGCACATGCCCGGGTTGTGGGCTCAATCCCCAGTAGGGGGCATGCAGATGCAGCCAATCAATGATTCTCATTATTGATGTTTCTATCTTTCTCTCCCTCTCTGGAACCAATACAAATATATTTAAAAAATCAATAAAAATATTTTTAAAACATTATAGTGAGGAAGAAGAGGAGGGACTCATATAAGCTAATACTGAAATATTTTATATAACTTAAACAATACAGATATATAGAAAAAAGTCTAAAAGGATATCATATACCAAAAAGTTAGAAATCTTTTTCTGTGAATAATGAATTACAGGATTTTAATTTTTGTCTTTGTGATTTTTTTGTACAACCTTTTTTCTTTTACTGCAATTATATAT